GATCTTCTCGTGAGATTGCATCAAATCAAAAATAAGATGGTAAAATGTCTTTTTCAAAGCAATGAATTATTTCATTACAAAAATTCGAGACTGACTGTGTTGTGTGAGAGCCTGTACAATTTAAATAGTTTTGTCCTTTAGCAATTGTTATTCTAAGATATTGAAATTAGTCACAACCAGACTCGTTGTCGGATGTTTATACTAACAGATATCACATGTTGGCCATGTACCTTATAAATCAGTCTTAATAATACGCTAAAAGAATTGACTCTCTCTCAGAATGTCGCAACCAATACACTTGTAATATTTTCAAAATAAACACTGTTTTTTGCACAATTTATATAACTTCGAACCTTCGTGATCGCTGTAAGCAGGTGTTTACATGCAGACGCGAAATTTAGTGGCGACCGTGACAGGACGTGGAAAAGTGTGTATTTGATGCGCTTCTGAGTAAACGGTATCAAATACTGGACTGACAAACTTTTACGACGTTTTCGATATTAGTGTTTGGTTTTGAAAACAGTCGAGGTTTTGAACCAAGTTTGTGTTAAAAAGAAAAAAAAAATGTCCAGTCAAATCGAAAGAAAAAAGAAAAGTCGCGCTGCAATCCGGGCTGCTTTCACGCGCAATGCAAATGATTTGGAGCAGTTTCTTTCAGCTAATCCGCCGTATTTGCGGGGTATTAAAGCTTATTTCGAATTATTGGAGTCAAAAAGTGATGAACTAAAAGTGCTGGACTCTGAAATGTACGAGGCTTTGTTGGAATCGTGTAGTGAAGAACAGTTGCTGTCCGAAATTGAAAGTTGTGATGTTTACAAGAAAAGATTCCTCGATGTAAGGATCAAATACGATGAGTTTACGGAGGAATTCAGTCGCTCTCTTCAAACAGCAGTAAGTGCACCACCAAGTACAGTAAGTGAGCAGGGGAGTGAAGTCCACATCACAAGTAAGCGTAAATTTAAGTTACCTACTATCGGATTTAAGCGTTTCGACGGTAACATTAAGGATTGGCTGTCTTTTTGGGCACAATTTCGAAAAATTCACGAGGATGAAGACATCGATGAACACGATAAAATAGAATATCTCATACAGTCAACGGAACCAGGCAGCAGGGCCCGGCAGTTCGTAGAAAGTTTTCCCGCAATTGCTGGAAATTATCAGAAAATCGTTGAAAGCCTTCGGTCGCGTTTCGGCAGGGAAGATTTACAAATAGAAGTATACGTCAGAGAACTATTAAAGCTTATTTTAAGTGATGCCGCGTCTACTCAAAAGATATAAATTTCCTTGTTGTACGACCGTTTGGAAACTCAGTTACGGGCATTGGATACTCTTGGGATAACGTCAGATAAATGTTCGGCAATGTTATTTCCGCTTATAGAATCTTGCTTGCCTCAAGAACTGTTAAGAGTTTGGCAGAGATCATCGTCTGCTAATGTTACATTGAAACAAAGTACATCGCAGGTCTCTTTGAATTTGTATAATGACCAAAACAATGAGAATTTGGGAGATCGTCTCCAGAGCCTAATGAACTTTCTAGGAAGTGAAGTCGAAAATGAACAACGAATATCGTTGGCCGCGGAAGGTTTTGGTCTAAACTCTGTTTCCTCGGTTGGCCAGGATGATTCGGGTCGCAGGAAGAAACAAGAAAAAAGAGCTACGTCAATGGTGCCGACTGCCGCGGGTTTTATAAATTGCGACATAAATTGCGTTTTTTGCGGCGGAAATCATGAATCGGAATCGTGTTTCGGGGCTCGTAAGTTGTCTTTTGAAGCAAGAAAGAAAATATTATCCGAAAAGCGCGCTTGCTATCGATGTCTAAAACCAGGTCATAATTCGAATAAGTGTCGAAGCCGATTACGTTGCGTAATCTGTAACAAATCACATGTAGCGCTGATGTGTCCTGCATTACCGGGAAATAAACAGATTTTAAAAGACAGTACGACTACTGGTAAATCGGATGATAATTGTGATGAAGATAAAACGTTAGCGAATCATACCAGTCCGCATGTTTTCTTACAGACTTTACGAATCATCGTAAAACGCGAAGGCGATGTTTTCGCGGTGCGTGCTTTGATCGACACGGGATCTCACAGATCGTATATTTTAAGATCGACTGCGCTTAAATTGGGTTACGGTCCGAAACGTAAAGAAAAGCTTATGTACTGTTTGTTTGGCGGGACCGAAAAAATGATTAACCACAATTGTTATGAAGACAATGTCTGTAAGGGAAATTACAATTTCAAGTTTGAAGTTTTGGATCAACCAATCATCTGCAACAATTTGTCGTCAGTTTTTTATGGGCCGTGGACGGAAGAACTAAAAAATATGAATATTGAAATTTCCGATTCTCATGGAACGGGACCTATTGAACTTCTCATAGGGGCAGATGTTGCTGGAGAACTGTATACGGGAAATAGGATTCCATTGAAGTGTGGCCTTGTAGCTGTCGAAACAACTCTTGGTTGGACAATAATGGGGAAAGTACCGTTGGCCAAATCCGAGTCCACTATGGCTATGGTCACTTTATCTTTATTGGTTAGTGACTCATCGATAAGTAATTTATGGGAACTGGAATTATTGGGGATCACGGAACCTTCCGAAAAAAGATCCAAAGATGAGACAGCCGCTGCTGCAAGGGAAGTTTTTCTGGATACAATAAAAACAGATGATGAAGGACGTTATGAGGTGAGATTACCCTGGTTAGAGGGACATCCTCCTTTATCGACCAACTACAAGGTGGCTCAAAAGAGATTAAATTCTACGTTGAGAAAGTTAAAAGCGCAGGACCTCATGGAATCATATGGAGCCGTCTTTGACGAATGGTTGAACGAGGGAATTATTGAACGTGTCCAGGAAGACAATTCCCATAGTCAAGGTCATTATCTTCCTCATCGTCCAGTTATTAAAGAAAACTCAACAACGAAAATAAGACCAGTCTTTGATGCGTCAGCCCGAGAAAATAATGGAATTTCTCTAAATCAATGTCTTGAGAAGGGGGCAAATTTGATTGAACTGATACCTTCGATACTATTAAGGTTCAGAGAGAATCCGATTGGTGTTATAGCGGACATACGAAAAGCGTTTTTACAAATCAGCCTGAATAAGAGTGATCGCAATTTTCTGAAATTTTTATGGGTAGATCCTGATGGAAAGGAGATCACATATCGACATAAACGCGTTGTATTTGGAATCAATAGCAGTCCTTTCCTTTTGGGAGCAACCATTGAATACCACCTGGCCTAGTGTCGGAAAAGGTGGGAAGAGGGCAAAGCTGAATATTCCCTTGACACTATAGCTAGGATGTCCAAAAGTTTTTATGTTGACAATTGTGTCACCAGCGTTTCCAACAGGAATGAATTGACCAATTTCATAAGGGAAGCATCTCTTATTATGCGGGAAGCCAAATTCGACTTAAGAGGGTGGGAGTTTAGTCAGGATACCAATGAAGATACCCCCCTTGTACCCGTGTTAGGGCTTCTTTGGCATCAAGGTCGAGATACACTCAGGATAAGTGAGTATTCGACGTGATTGGGTTCACTTGTCCAACCACTTTGGTACCAAAATTGTTGCTGCAGCGAATTTGGGAGGGAAAGCGACCATGGGATGAACCAGTGGAATTGGAAATTGAGGAATCTTTTCGTGAATGGCTTCGGGGTTTACCTCACTTGTTGAAAATAGAAATTCCTCGTTGGACAGGTACAGGTACAAAAGGCATCAAACATTTAAGTATACATACGTTTTGTGATGCCAGCAAGAACGCATATTCCGCTGTAATTTTTCTCAGAGTGAGAAAGATGAATAATGTAGAAGTTTACCTGTTGGCTGCTAAATCAAGGGTAGCACCAATACGGAAGTTAACAATACCAAGGCTTGAACTCATGGCTGCAGTTATTGGTACCAGACTGTACGCTAATGTCAGAAAAAATTTAGAAAGTGAAGTACAGTCATTCTTTTGGAGTGATTCGTCCACAGTGGTATCATGGATTCAGCGACAAGAGGAATGGGCCACATTCGTATGGAACAGAGTTTCAGAGATTCGTATGTTAACGGCTTCAACTGAATGGCGCCATGTACCGGGTGATCAGAATCCAACGGATCTACCTTCACGTGGCTGCAACCCTGAGCAGTTACTCAAATCAAAATGGTGGGAGGGTCCGAAGTGGCTTTATGAGAACATGGAGAGCTGGCCAAGCGGACAAACTCAATGTGATGAAATTGAGGTTGGTCAGGAACGACGGAAAAAATTAGTAACAACACTCCTGGATAACGCTACAGATTTCTGGCATTTGTGTCATTTCTCAAGATACTCAAAGACGGTGAGGATGATCGCCTGGATGCTTCGCTTTGTACATAACTTGAGAAATCCTTCTCAGAAACAAAAAGGCGAACTGACGGCAGAGAATATTGATGAGGGGCAACGATTTCTATTAAAGACGATTCAGGCTGATATGTTTTCTGGAGAAAACGCCAGGAAAATAGAACATCTTAGACCATTCGTCGGAGAGGATGGATTGATTCGGTTGAAGACCAGGATTTCGAATCGAGAAGACAGTGAATATTTTAGACACCCTATTGTACTGCCTACTAAACATCATGTCGTAGAAACTTTGATTTTGAAAGAGCATATTGATTGTGCACATTTGGGTGTGCAGGGTATCTTAAGTAAATTAAGAGAAAAATACTGGATCTTGGGTGGAAGACGTACAATAAGGACTGCGCTTGGGAAATGTTATGCTTGCAAACGATATAATTCCAAACCGTTTCAAGTGGAATCCTCTGCGTTGCCTTTGGACAGAGTTCGTGAGGCAAGAGTATTTGAAGTTACCGGGGTTGACATGGCGGGTCCTCTTTATCTACGGGATGGGACCAAAGTATGGATATGCCTTTTTACGTGTGCCGTATTTCGGGCTGTTCATTTAGAAGCAGTTACTTCGTTATCTACCAATGGTTTCATTCAGGCTTTTCGTAGATTTGTCGCACGCCGTGGTCGGCCAAACACGATGTACAGCGACAACGGGACGAACTTCACGGGCGCGGAAAACGCGTTATCGCAGTTGGACTGGGACGAAATAACCAAGAATTCTGCCGTGCAAAGAATAGTTTGGCGGTTTAATCCCCCTAGTGCTACGTGGTGGGGTGGATTTTGGGAACGTTTGATTGGTGTCATGAAACAGTTACTACGTAGAGTTTTAGGCCGAGCTAGTCTAAATTTTGAAGATCTTTTGACGGTAATATGTGATTGCGAAGCCGCGATCAATTCTCGACCACTTACGTACGAATCAGATGATCCAAAAGAGTTAATAGCTATTACACCGGCAATGTTTTTAATCGATCAAACGGGAGATGGTTTACCGGATTGTGACATTATTGATAGGTCTTCATTGTGTCGGAAGTTAAGATATAAACAAAAGCTACGGGATGATTTACGCCGAAGGTTTAGAAACGAGTATCTCGGGCAACTAAGATCGTTCTGTGATAAAAAACCGGGTCGACAAATAGAACGAGGTGAAGTCGTTTTAATCGGGAATGACCAAGATAAACGTATAGACTGGCCGCTCGGACGCGTGGTTGAATTACTTCCGGGACGGGACAACCAGATCCGACTAGTCAGACTGGTGACTTCGAGGGGAAGTTTGCTGAGGCCTGTTCAACGTCTTTACCCTTTGGAATGCATTGAAACATCGCCATCGTTTGAAACCAGAGCCAGTGTCCCGACTTCTTCGTTGGTTCCAGGGAAAAAAAGGGTGGTTAAAAGTGCGGGAGTGTCTTGTGAAAAAAGCAGAGTACCCGTTAAAACGCGTAGTGGACGTGTGTGTAAACCGCCCCAAAGGTTTTCTTATTAGATTTCTGTAAAGTGTTAACTATTGTTTTTGTAAGATTCTATATGGTACTGCTGTTTGCATTTTGCTTGTAACTTTAAATTTTGTAATGTATGAGAAACTTTTTGTTGTTTTCAAAATGTTCCTCAGGTGAGAGGATGTTGTGTGAGAGCCTGTACAATTTAAATAGTTTTGTCCTTTAGCAATTGTTATTCTAAGATATTGAAATTAGTCACAACCAGAAAGGCGACGTGGAATTGTGCTCAAAATTGTATCTGCGAGAAATTGAAGGAATATTTGTCAATCGACGTTAAAAACAAACTGAGTTTTTGCTTGTCAAAATAAGTCCTATAGAAGGAACAAAAAGGTACCTTTTTGTGAATCAATTTTGTAACACTTCACAAAATAAAATTCCTGTTTACATCGAAATATATATTTTTAGAGATATCTCGGATAAATCCCATTAGGTTATGGGCCCAGGAAGTGGTGAAATCTCATCTCTAATGAAAAGTATGTGAAAGAGCTCAAGTCAGAAAGTGAATTCAAAAATTCAAGTCAAAAGGTAAAAATGGACACTGTAAAATCACAACTTGTGATGCTGAGTCAAAACTCACAAGGAGTAGTAAACTATGTGCCATGGGGGTTAAAATTAGATGCTGTCTTGAGAACCAAGAAGTTGTATGATATTGCAACCGGAGTCAAGGTCAAGCCGGAAGGAACTGAAAATGTCGCTGCAGTCGTTGAATGGAATGGAAAAGACATGGAGGCTCTGCAACTAATAGTATTGAATGTCAGTGATCAAATCGCATATAAAATTGCAAATTGCAAAACGGCAAGAGCAATGTTGGACAGACTAGTTTGCTTGTACGGCATGAAGACAGAGATGAACATGGAAGTGTTGACAAAAACTTTTCACGTTGAAAGCAAATCGGTGGCCGTAAACTGCATGGAAGTTATGTCCATAGGTGATGAACTAACCAACGGTGGTGAACCTGTGCCGGAATCATGGATGATGACCAGAATTCTGAAAATGTTGCCAGTGAGACTTGCTCATTTTCGTACGTCGTACGTTGTGGGATAACGTGCCAGCAGCCGACAGCAGCCTGACCACCATGATCGAAAGACTGAGACTTGAAGATGATCGTCAACACGATGAGACAAGTGCACTGTAAGTAAGTTTCTCGTGAAGAAAAATAAAAAGCACCAAGGAAAACCGCAATACAAGACTGAGGAGGGACAATCGACCTGTTACAAGTGTGGACTGAAAGGACACTTTAAAAAGGACTGCCAGAACAAACCCTGTGCCAAATACTTGGCATACTGCAAGAAAACTTGCAAGTGCAACTCGTGTGGACAGAAAGGTCATTTCGCAAGAGATGTACTCAACGGCGAGGTGACAGCTAAGATTCTCAAAGGTCACTCAAACCTCCCGTTGCCTGGGTGACAGCCAGCTTGAAGACGACCGACCTGGAGAACAACTTGAACAACCCAAAGGAACAGATGTCAGCCTGGTATCAAGACAGTGGCCCATCAAAACCAAACAATGTTAAAAAGTTATAATGTTTCAATTTACATAAACCCTTAGTAATTAGATCTGCGGGCATATCTGAAGTAGACATGTATTTAATCTTTACAATCTCTCTAGCAACTATTTCTCTACAAAAAAGATACCGCACATCTATATGTTTGGATCTCTTATTGTAAATAGGATTGACTGACAACTTCTGGGCTGACTGATTGTCATTAAATATTGGTATAGGATAATATTCGTTAGTTAATTCAAACATTAAATTTCGCAAATACACAGTTTCTTTGAAACTCTCCAAAATGCCCATGTATTCGGCCTCCGTACTGAAAAATACCACAGTAATCTGTTTCTTGGTTTCCCAAGATATTGCACAATTTGACAACCTTAAAAAATATCCAGCATAGAATCTCTGACCAATTACATTACTGGCCCAGTCTACATCTACAAACGTTTCTAACTGACTATTACTAGTACCTGAAAACACTAAACAGAAAGGTTTAGTTTTCATTAAGTATTTTACAACTCTCTTTGCATATACCCAATGTTCTTGATCGTAACAGTTACAGAAAATACAATATCAGGACGCCTGAGCACAGCTATATACATAAGAGAACTAATCAATTCATGATAAGAGAACTTAATGTTACATTTCTCACTATTAGTTATAATTAGTCTAGGTTCAATTGGTGTCTCTGTAGACTTACAATAAGAAATATTAAATTTTAACAGCAATTCTTCAATATAGGTTTCTTTCTCTACAGTTATAGTACCATTCTCTTTATTTACAATCACTCTCATACCTAAACAATTTTTAATACATACCAAATCTTTTATTTATCAATTCTTGTAAACAGACATGGTTCTAGTTTAGATTTTTTATAACCCAAGAACTGTAACAATTCCTCAACTCGTTGATACCATGCCCTTGATGACTGTTTTGAGCCATAAATAGCACGTTCAATCGCAAAGCCTTGCTTACATCAACCTTACTACCCTGAAAACCTGGCGGTTACATCATGTACACTTTTTCATTTAATAAATCATTCAAAAACGCAGTGTCTACATCTAAATGACAAATATCCAAATGAAGCAGAACTGCTAAAGCGAATAACAATCTGGAAGTGGAATATCTAACAACAGGTGAAAAACATTAATCAAAATGAATGCTAGGCCTATGGGACAAGCCCTTAGCTACTATCATGGCTCTATACCTGACTTTATTATTATTATCCAGTTTCCGCTTAAAAATCCATCTAAATACATTGTACAATATTGCCACTGTGTGGAACATCAACTAATTCCCAAGCGCCACTGTCTTCAAATAATTTAAATTCACTTTGCGTGGCTAATTTCCACTGTTCACTTTCTGATCCATTCAACGCTTCATCTAGAAATATTTAACTTGCATTTGTTTCGCTGGTTTAACCTACACACACATAACCAAAACCGGACCGATCATGCTGCTTGTGGATACGCTTAGTAAGCTTCTCCACTGGAAACTCGGCAGGAAGCTCTGGCTGAGACATATGACCACGCGCAGGCTCCACAGATTCAGCCTCCAGCATATTTGTGGAGTCTACAAAGTTCTCTTCATCAGTACCAGAACTTTCTCCTTCGGGGATCGGTACATCTTTCATCTCCTGATCTTCCAATGTGTTTATGTGCTTCATGTCCCCCACTTCTTGGGTACATTCTTCTCTTTCTTCCTTCATTGGAAAGATGTCAGCAGGGCCATCACTAATGTAAAAGTGCATCAGATCTTGCTTCTGTTTAATCCCCTCCTCAACAACAACAATATCTCTTGCTATAGTTACACTATTATTGTTGGGATTGTAAATTCAGTAACTGTTTACACTGTCTGAGTACCCAAGAAGAAGACACTGAATCGGTTTTTTTATCCGATTTTAACCTTTTTTTATGTGTTGGCCTTGTTTCCAAAGTTATAAAGACTACTGACATCAGGTATAGCTCCGGTCCTGATCTCCATAGGCGTTTTGTTGTCTAATCCTGATGCAATTGACCTGTTTTGCAAATAAACAGCAGTGTTCACTGCTTCTGCCCAAAAACGCTTAGGTAATTCTGCATCGAATAGTAAACATCTCGCTTTCTCTATCACTGTACGGTTAAACTGCTCGCAGAGAGCGTTCTGTTCCGGTGTGTAAGCACAAGTTTTTTGATTGACAATTCCAGCAAATTCCAATAATTTTTCAAATTCCTTACTACAGAATTCCGTACCATTGTCTGTCCTGAACACTGAACATTCTCTACTAACGTATTGAATGTCTTGGCCTGTGAGAATACTTAATCTTCTCTCTTCAAGAAATATACAAATGCCATCCGACTGTAGTCATCGACGAATAGCAAGAGGTATTTCTTTCCACCAATTAATCTGGTTTCTATGGTCCCACAAACATCTGCGTGTACGACATCGAGAAGTTCCTTGCCTCTGTTGCCAATATGACTGAAAGGCAACCTGCCCAGCTTTTCCTCACAGCACACAGTGCAGTTTGTTTTACTGACTTGAGCCTTGTCCGAGTACGACATTCCTTTTACAGCTCCATCTTTCATCACATAAAGGTCTTTGCTGTTCAGGTGATCAAATCTTCTATGCGACACACTTCCGGACACTGAATTCAACAAACAATCGACTTACTTGATTCTCAACTTATAAACACCTCCGACCAAATCTACAGTTGCTACAAGTTCATTCTTTTGGTTATAAATATAACAGTGAGTAGGGTAAGATAACCGATTCTAGCACAGAGGAGTAGGTAAGTGACGAAACGTCATCGTTCGTAAACGTGTAACTGTTAAATCTGTTACTGGTCACATGATGNACAAAAAAAAAATGGACGATGTCACGCCCATCCACTCATTAACAAAATGGACGATTACAACATCATTACAAAATATTCCATAAATGGCAATGTGGGGGGAACAGGGGGGGAACGATTGCAAGCCCGAAGGCGTTAACAAAATGGAGGATAACAACAAAAAACACCCACATGACACAAGAGGGGGACGGGGCCGACCAATCAGAGGACAAAATCAAAATCAAAAACGAGCGGAAGTGCCGTAAGAAAAGCATTGGGAGATAAGGAGATTTGCCCCTAGATATCCTACTAACCGTTTCTACGCTGTCGTCCACCAAATAACTCGAGGTAGCTGCAGCCTGTATTCGTGTAATTAGAATAAAATGGATGGCCTAAGACGTCTTTAAGGCATACGATACGACGATTTAAAACCTTTTCAGAAGCCTATTTCTACCCGTTTCTGAGCTTTCGCCATCAAAATCTTGAGGTGGCTACAGCCCGGATGCGTGGAATGGGTATAAGATGGACGGTCTAAAAGTCCTTAAGGCATGCCATACGATGATTTATGACCTTTTAAAAAGACAATATTTGACCGTTTCCGAACGGTCTTCCATCAAAGAACTCGAGGTAGCTACAGCCGCTATGCGTGGACGGAGAATAAAATGGATGATCTAAAACGCTAT